GCGGAGATCTACTGCACTCAGCATAAAGCGTGAACAAGATCCGGATTTTTGATACCAATGTCAAATCAGTGCTGCTATACGGTTCAGAAACTTGGCGCGTCACGAAAAGCACTTCCAACAAACTACAAACATTTATCAACAGCTACCTACGCTGGCTCGATACTTAAGATCAGATGACCAGAAAGAATAAGGAACAAGGAACTCTGGTAACGAACCAACCTAGAACCTATCGCTAAACAAATATGCAGTGGAAGGAAGTGGAGATGGATTGGGCATACACTGAGAAGGCCGACTGGGGACATCACGCATCAGGTGAGGCCCTCGAGTGGAATCAAAAGGTGGAGGTGGACGAGTTGGGCGTCCCAGCTGAGGATTTCATGGAGATCATGTGAGGAAGAAATGAAAGGTTGTGGCCAGTCGTGGCGACAGGTTGAAAAGACTGCAGAGGAGAGAGTGCAATGGAGGCGTGCTACTGAAGCCCTATGTTTCACTAGGAACCAAAGGGAAAGTAATAATAATAATAATAATAATAATAATAATAATAAACAGCGTACACCCATCTGTCAAGCCTTTTTGAAAGTGCTTGATAATGTAATTGAGTGGTTCGATTAAAGTGAAGTTTTAAGAACCCTTAATAGCTTCTCTATAACAACCACGTATTTTTTTTCACCACAATGTGATGATCATTTATAACCTGTTTTATTGGGAGATGTGAAGTATGATATAAATGTTTCACGATTTATTTGAAACCGTTGTAATAATAAGAATGCATTTCGATATTATTAAACCTTCTTACTATTTAACTGTGTTACGTCACTTTTATACGACAAATATTAAGTTCACTCTTAGCACAGAATAATTAACTGACAGGTTTGCAAAGAAGTGGTTAATACTTCCGCAGACTAATACACAAATACCAACTAATTAAATGAACTTTTTCTACTTATAATAAGTATATAGCAACTGGGAGCTTCATATTCAACTTAGTGGTGAATTAAAAGTATTCTCTTAGATCTAATAATCATTTAGTTTTTATTTTACAGGGAATATATGATACTTCAATAACTAAAGGTATTGTCAGATGCTGAGTTTAAGTCGAGAACTAATGTCATCAATTTTGCTATGCCACTGATGGTTAAATACAAATGCGCATCCACTTCGTCATATGGAGAAATTCTCTCAACAGCTCAAGATTCCATGTTTCACCTATGTACATTAAGAAGAATGCAAAAACAAAAAGAGACAAGCAGCTGGAATGGAAATGACAGCATCATATGTTTTAAAAAGCCATAAAAGAGAAAAGGTCAGTAAGAAGAATTGAGATGTATCACCATGTCATAGTTAAGACATAGGTTCACGTATGACATCGACCTATGTGAACCACTGCAATCTGTCCTAAGTCATGAGACTCAACCTTCAGTGATTGATTCAAGTCATCTCATGGATCTTGGTCAATGGGCCTAACACTTTTCCACACTCTAACAAAAACTCGGAGTTTATGGGTTGGCCCTACTTCTTGGTGCAGTCACCTATAACAACATCCCAGTGTAACCCTACTCCAACTAACGTAGAAGTTTACGGTAGACAGTGACTCAATATGTATAAGATATATTCTAGTCAATTTAGGTTGAAAAACTTGTCAGCTCACTTCCCTGTGAACATTAACGCTCTATACTTATCTATAATGTACTTATCACTCAAATTCTACTGCATGCCAGCAGTGAAACGAAAGTAAGAGCATGGAAATGTCAGTTCAGATATCAAATGCTTCACCTTCAGTGATCTATATCAGTCACAGTTTATTCAACTCCTAACAAACACTTGAATTAGCCGCTGGTTTTACTAGTGGAGTAAAGTGGAACACTTCGTAAACCTCTATTTTATCAATACTGGGATATCATTGGCTAACAACCAAATAAGGCTGTTAAGATGTTCGAAGTTCAACTATAAATTACACTAATGTCACATGAAATGTGGTTAATACAGAGAAGTCTTAAAGCAATAACCTGCACTTGGAAGGTGAGAACCTCATCGCTTACATTCTGAAATCACTCAGTGTTCGAAAAGTCTGTTATAAACACCATCTATTAAAAAGGTATGATTGGTATGGTCCACATCATTTAGGAGATCTCAGGTCAAAGAATTAACCTTCCTAAAGTCAAAAGAAGAAACTGCATCCCATTTAAGTAGTCAGTGACAAAGTTAGTTGGATATGAGAATTGATAGTCAATACTAAAGATACATACTTCATCATACAGCTGACTTTAAGCTGTCATATGACTATAAGAAGTTCTTTGGAGAGCACATATTTTTGCAGTACCCCCCCCCTTTATTTTTCATTACAAATTGAAATCAGTTGATGAACAACATCCATTACTAGAAATTTATTTCTTTCTGGTTTTAAATGAGCTAGAAATGCACATCGAGGGCTGAATCATAACCCTGTCAGACTCAGTACTTCAAGTTATCCGACATTTTTCAATTTGAAATGAAGTGAAACTACCTCCTGAATGTCATAGTCAGTTATCCGTACCTATACTCAACTTGACTGACCGGACAGATGATGAGATTTTTTTTAGAAGTTTAGTAAATCCATGTCATTACTGAGTATAGAATGGGTATTCATTTCGGAGATTTGTAGGAAAGTTGTAAAGTGATATCATATCAGAATTCCTCTGCTTTTCTGAAGACTGGGATGAATAGAAGTGGGGATTAGTTGGAAGTTGTCTTTCTAAATCTTTTTATCAAAAATGTCATTTAAGTGACCAGTCCATGAAGGACTGACTGGTTTCAAGATTGCCTTCATTACGGATTGAGATCGTTTGGAGAACCATTCAAAACTGAGAGCACTGGAGAGCTGTTTTGTCCCAAATCAGAACAACGTATCACTGCAGGTCCAGATACTGTGTGGATTCAAAACAAGACTCGTCAAATCTTGACACTGCTCAGCCACTGCCGTAGAACTCAAAGGTTCACATTTTCTTACTTTCTTCAATTCACAATCACGAACACTGTCTAACGTTAGTTGTACAGTACTCTCAGATTTTTAGTGGTTCTTCAGTTGATGTTGATCTGTGATGGAAACCAACTTGCCGAAACTTTTATTGTCAACTGCATGACACTTTTATGATCTGTAATCGAATCTACAGTAAATAATAAACTAAGAAAATACTAATCAACAAACCTGTGAATTCAATCTTTAGTCAGATGAATAATTTTATGAATAATTGTAAAACACAGGTAATTACAACTTGCTTCTTTGTTGTTAACTGATATCATGAACACTATGCTTATTGTGCGTGCTAATTAATTACTGTTAGTAATAGTATTAATGATAGTAATTCACCCTATAATCCCTCTGATTTATGAGTCATCTGTCATCAAGTTTTAATATCACCTATAACCCGTTTCTTTTTATAATCATGTGAACAAATTCGGTCAATAAGTAAACATATGTTGCCGTAGTTAGTGTACGAAATGAACCTACAAATAATACAAACACAATGATTCTCATGTGACAATTTTACATAAGTTAGCCATCATGATTAGCAGTATGAGTTGGTCAGAGTAGGAAGGACAAGAGAGAAAAAAAGGAAAGAAGAAATAGACTACTAATTAGCTAGTATTTAAAGAAATGAATGCAGATAATGATCACCACCATAGACACAACCTGTCTGTCTTAACCTGTATACTGGTGATTAGGTTGTCATGCTGGTGTCTCATTCCTTGGCACTGTGCCAAAGACCACACTATACTATTAAGTTCACCTTACAAACATTAAGCTTTTTGTTACTGCTTCTTCTCTTTTATGAGTATATATATATAAATTCAACACGTGATATAAAAATAACAAAATACGTTCTATGAAAAACAACTTTTAAACATGTGTAGACCTGTTTTAATCCCAACGTAACAACAACGGTCATAATAATGATATAAAAAATACCCATAATAATAGCTCATGAACAATACCTGTAAAATGAAACCTTAGCTACGGAATTAAATGTATCTAGTCAATACGATTCTATACTGATCTCATTTAATGCTAATTTATTTGTCTTTAGAGTTCACAGTTTGGTTTTCAACTGACATGAACATATTTCGAGGTACCCAGGGATTTTATCTCACAAATCAATATGAACACAAAACTTGAATTTAGGTTTTTCAACCTGTTTGTCTATTTCCTTATCATATTAGGTACTTTGCATAAATATTTCGGTCAGGATAGTTGGCTATGAATCTAATGTAGTATAAGAATGTTAAACTTTATTACAGAGTAGTCATTAAGAATTGTGACGTAGAGTTTTCTTGAACGTATCATCAAGACTGCACTTGATGACCAACGCAACTCAGCAGCATAATAAACGATACATAAGCCGCTCCTGATGGATGTGGGCTTGTGATACTGCCCATCTTCCAAGATCAAATTATATGGGGTAAAGTTTGAATCCTGCCGGTAATACTTGAAAGTCAAGTCCTTAAGCCAATGAACCATAGCTTCACTTAATCGTGACTAAAAACAAACAAAACCTAGGTCAGAACGTATCCTCACTAACAATGGACTGGATAGTTTGAAAAACTTGGGCACCGAGTTAGTATGATTCCTCGTATAAGGTGTATTTTTACTTGTGTAATCCCAGTGTAGTATATTAGAAGAACAAATAACAAGATATTTATGTCTTTATTTGTTCTGATACACTACTCCAGGATAACACAAGTAAAATACACTTTATGAGGTAGAGTTTTTAAAAAATCCTTTTCTATAACTCCGTATGAAGCTTTGAATCTCTCATTTAGCTCTTTTCAACTTTTACCAGTACATTAAGCATATAGAAAAACACCAGTAAATAATACCTGAAACCATGTTAAATTTTGTAATATTTCCAATTTTATTTGATTGAATAAAATAGCTTACAAAAAATGTGGTTATCAGTTATAAAAGTATTTAGATGTTTCAAAACTTTCAGAAAAAAATAAAACGAAAGAGGGACCTGACTTACCTTGAGGACAGAGAAAAGACTAAAATCTAACTGCTTGTTTTGCTTTTTATCATTGCAAATGTTTGAATTCTCTCCAAAATTTTCAAGACATCTACGATGGATTAATGCAGTACCATCAGTCTTTTTGTCCCTTTGTGAAGCTGATAAAAGGATGTTTGCAACTTGAGAAAGACTACCACCAAGCTTTTGATAATTTGATAATAATAACCAAAAAATCCTTCTAGGTGTTATAGGACTCAGCTGGGCCTCACTACAACCAGTGACAAAGTATTCATCTTTCAAGAGTGACTGATCAATTTCGTCAATTTCTTGTGATGTAAAACCCAGTAACTCAGCGAAATAGTGCCATTTGAATGAAGATTTAAAGTATCCGTAAAGGGCTATGTCAAGTAAAATAAAAATTTATTTGATAATTAACAGAATGTAGGATATAGATATTCTACCACGCATTTGTTGGCATAAATGGAAAAGAAAATAGCTTGTTAACGCTACTACCATTCTTGCAACCCAAGGTATGAGACAGTAGGAAGCATACGAGTTATTTATTAGTACTGACATGTAACACAATCTCAATGAATGACGCAACGCTGTTGCTATTCATTTCCTGTAACCTCTTTTTTTCTACAAACAATCTTAATTGCACTTGGATAGGTAGTCTCGAAGATCTTATTTTAGATTAGGACTCAACACAACTTTACACTTGTAAATAGCTCTAAAACTATTAAACAAAGCCTGAAAGATGAAATGAAATGATTCTGATCACTTAACTAGAAGTCCAAAACTAGGAAGTTTTCTTGTGACTGATTACTTACTCTAGAATAGAATATCCTGTGTTCATTTTGTGCCTTAAAAACAGGTTCTTATAGCTTTAAGTAAAATATTTCAAAATTTAGGAAATATTCTGTAAAAGCAACTTCACTTTTAATATAATCTCATAGAGTATTATAGAAAGAGAGAGATTACTTTGTTTGGACGTAGTACACTTATGCAAATGACATGTAAATTGAAAATACCATAGTGTTAGAAATAGTTAATGATAAAATCCAGTGTTCAACAGATGATAAAATGGTTTGTTGGGATTGATAATGCATAGTCCCTAAGTTAATATTATCTTTCAGAATTAATTTTTCTCTGAGTTTTCACACACAGTAAATGCGTCAGAAAACTGTCAGAATATACTCATTTCATTTTCATTACACTGACAGCTTTTGTTGACATTTATATCCGTAAGTTTCGTACCAATATCTGGTTTTCAGTTTCCTCTTCTATCTGTTCAGTTATATAGCTGTTCTATTCACCACTTACAATACTAACATAACTGAATAATTTTGGCGTTCATCAGTTACAAGAGAAACAAATAGTGTCAGAAGTGTTTGTAGCATTACCTGTCATCGAAATGTACTACTTAACAAATTAAGTAACCAGAAACCACTCAGATCGATCTGGAGATTTTGCTAGCCGTATCACAGTGATCTAAACTCTGAACGGTCGTTTCACTCATTTGGTATTAAGTTCATCCGCCTTGTACGTAGACAAATTTGTTCCACAGAAACGACTCGTACGGATCAGATTGAGTGATTTAGAATTAACTACGTTGTTCAGTAGCATATTTCGTTAGTTCACTGCACCTTTCTGCCAAAGATCACACATTATGACATTAGCTGGGTGGTTTTCAATGGGAATCTTGTTGATGCCACAGTTGAACAGTCAACAGGCCACTCAACTTTAAGAAACGTCAAAGTAAATAGTACAGTTTGTAAACTTTTCTGACCGGATTGCTTCCACCCGAAAACAAATTTTCTTCTTACATGAATGCTTACGAAAGCATATCTTGCCCAGAAGTGTTAGATATAAACCACCCATCAATTGTTGCATTGGATGAAGGATCTCTGAACAAAATGGAAGAATAGTGGTGTGAGTAATGACATCGGATGCACATAACGGACTCAAGAAATAAAATAGGATAATAACTAGTCAATAACAAATACTACTACAAGTCATAGGAACAGAGATAAGGAGCCAAATAATGACTGCCATAAACATCCCAAAGAAAACCAAGGAAAAGAAAAGAACTAAAAAACAAACCGCTTAAGCTCTTTGAATCAGAGGAGAGGAAAATAAAACAGGGCAGTGGACCTTGCAGAACGGAACTTATCATCGACAGAATGCGATTTGCTCCATAAAGGATTAAACTATAATACGAAGGGTGGAAATATGTTGGATTTCTGTGCAACCTTTTGAATATTTGTTCAAGACTACAGAAATAACACCAAAGAAACAACAAGAACTACTATAAGTAGTCATACCGTTACCGAAATTCAAGGACAAGGTGCACCAATGCAACGAAGATGAAAAGAAAGCACTGAACTCACCCATGTCAGATAAGAAAATCGCGATGCTATCAGCAGATAAAGGAAGTAAAACCGTCGTCATGAACAGGGCGGATTACACAGAAAATGCATAAGAAGTATGCAGTGACAAGACCACTTATCAGCTGGTAGATAAGATTCTTATGAAACGACTAAGCAACCAAATTCAAAGAAAACTGAGAAACCTAGTCGAAGCGGGTCAAATGACAAAAAGGCTGAAGTGGTGAAACAAGACGAACGGGCCAGTTCTACCTAGATTCTGGCTCATATCAGTACACCAAGTAAACGGCAGTGAAGTGGAAGATAAAGAAAAGAAAATTCAGTACTAAAAAAGAGAAAGGAAGAATGAGGAATGGTGAGATTTGCAATAGCTACGTTCAGATGAGGATAATGTGTGTATACATCTGCGCCACTGACATCGGTTCTGAGCCATATCACCTAGAGTCTCCAACCATTGGTTCTTCTTGTCCCACCGACCCCAACCACCTAGTCCGCATTTCCCCACGTGGCTCAAACCAACATTCAAGGACTTCATACATTGATACCATGTTTTAGTCTAGTCGCCTCAAGCTTTTTTCCAGCCCGAAGCTACGTTGGACAACATTGTATGACGAGACAATCGACGACTAGGCATACGTAACACGTGTCCCAACCATATCAGTCGATGAAGGTTCACAACCTCGTCAACTGACTTACCTCTTCTCCCTACAACTCTACTCCTGAGCCTGACTTCTGCGTTACTCACCTGGTGACACCACGGAATACGGCCTATACTACGAAGGCAACGGTGGTCAAACACTTGAAGCCCTCTCATTTCTTCCACCTACAATGACCATTTTTCATAGCCAAACAGTAGAACAGAACAGACTGCTGTGCAGTACACGCGATCCTTAATGGACAATCAGATATCACGGCGGCGCCATAGGTGGCGTAAGTTGGCAAAAGCCAGTCGAGCCTTTTGTATTTGTACAGAGATTTCATCGGCACTGAGCCACTAGAGCAGGGCTGATCCTACTTCCCAGGTAAGTGAAGTGGTCGACACACAACCACTTCACTCTCCATTGTTAGCCGTGGTGGGGCACCGTTGAAAACCAATTCTGGAGCAATAATTTGCATTTGGGTAGTGAGAAACGCATCCCAAACATTTTCAAATTGTTACTCAAAGTGTTCAGAAGACTCTGTATGTTGTCAGCGTCTTCACCTAACAGGACTATGTCATCTGCATATTCTAAATCTAAAGAAAATTCTCCTGCGATTAGGTCAAGCTCTGTGTAATCAGGTGACGAGAAGGAGACCTCCATAAGAATATCTATGATAAAGTTGAACAAGAATGGAGAGTGGGCAGCCTTGACGGACATCACTCGATGAGCATAGCTCACCTGGGCATCTCACCATAGACTCTAACACGCCCACAAGTGTTCGAGTAGAGAGCCTTCCATAAGGTGACGTACCTACTGGGTACACCTTTCAGTGAGAGACATTGCCATAAGACTTCTCGATCAACGGAGTCGAATGCCGTCTTCATGTCGGGCGTTGGTAAGCCTGTCTTTGTTCTAAGACCCGGCGCAGTGTGAATATTTGGTCAATACACCCGCGGCCGGGTCTTGACCCCGCTCCCTGGTTTTCTTAAGCTTAATGTTCCCGAGCCCCACTCAGGCGCCAAAGAATTATAGAACCTAGAATCTTGGACAATATGTTCGTCAGGCTGATTCCTCTGTGGTTATCACAAGAGGACTTCTCGCCTTTCTTGAAGACTGGGATAATCAAGGATTTAGACTGCATCGTATTTGATTCCCATATACTGGTTAACACTTCCATTAACCTGACTAAGAGCACTTTACTACCATCCTTGTATGCCTAAGGAGTTAGTTCGTCTGGTCCTGCTGACCTTCCTCATTTCAGGTTACCTACAGCTTTCTCGACTTCTGCTAGTGTTGGGGGCCTGTCTCTATGTCCCATTCAGGGTCCGACTGGATAGCGGGTAACGTGATGGTGGCTGGAGGACAGTCAAACTGTTCCTCGAAGTGTTCTGCCCATCGTTCCAGTCGTCTCTCCTGCGAGTGAATTGCAGATCCATCCTTCTCCACTGTAGCCTCACTAACTGTTGTTGACCTTTTCCCCCAGTTTCCTTAATACGTCTAAACAACTGTCTACTGCTACCAACTGCCACTGTCTTTTCCATCTATTTAGCCTTTGCTGCCCGCCACTGTTCGCGGTCGTTGCGTAGACTTTTTCTCAATCTACTTTTTAGTTGTGCTCTCTCTTCATTGTACTCAGAGCCCGTAGGGATACATTCACATGGATTCTTTGGTTCAGAAGAAGCTGCTGATATCCACTGGCTCTTTTCAGCGACTCTTTCGGAGTCGGCTACGGTCTTCGACGCTGTTTTTACAACAGACTCGAGATGGCACCAAGCTTCTGGATGAGTGGTAGTGTTCTGTTCCGATAACTGCCTAGCCAACTTCTCACTGAACATGGCTTTGGTGTTTTCGTTGTCCAGCAGCAATCGTAGTAGTTTGGTTGCCAAATACTTCCTACGTCCATTGAGACACGGGCATATACGTACTCAAACCAACGCGTGGTCGCTATCCAAACACATGCTCCAGAATGAGTGGCAGTCTTCCACCAATCCTCTCCACGCATTACTGATAGCAATATGGTCTATCTGTGTCCATCGCTGAGTTGAGCTCGGTGGACGCCACGTCAGACAGTGTCTTTGTGTCTAAAATTTGTGCTGACTAAAAATAAGCGGTGATCCGAGTAGTTGTAGTAGGCGATCACCGTTATCTGTACGTTCAGCCGGGATTCCGAAAGTGTCACCTAAGTGCCTTTCTGCTTCACTCAGTCTACCCACCTGTGAACTGAGGCCGACCTTTTCTGACCCTCCCTCTTCCACTGAGAAGACAGGATCAGCACGGCACTTCTGGTCATCCAAGGGAAACACCTTACTGCTGTCACACCCCATCCAGCTAGCAGCAGTATGACTTCACCCTCAGACCTCCATCAGAGTTTAGTGATTTACACCACAACGGTAACTGCTTTTCGTATAACCACTATCCAACAGACCTTTCTAGTGTGGTAGGACCTAGAGGGAACAAGTGTTCCACCAGCATAGCTAGTTGGGTCTCTATGATATGCAGGCCCGACCACCACGTCAAGGTAGCATTTATCGGTTGAGTATCACTACCGGGAGCAACGTTAATTTATCTACAGAATTTTACACAAAAACCAAGATCATCCAAACAGCTGCATCAACAAATGGCTATCAGTAGAACACGCATCATGAAAGCTACCTCAATCTGCAAACGAAATCACTTTTGCATGCATCATAAATGTCTCTGAAACTATCAACCGATTACTATGCCCATTCAGTATCAGCGTGGCTCATAAACTAACTAAATCCCTGCAGAGAATATCATCCGAGCTACAAGATCCATTACCTTAAGACGACAAGTCGAATATAATCTATAAAATTAGTTGCGAGGAACATCAACATTATTGTGTTGACCAATCCATTCATCGAATGGGTCGAGGAATTCATGAGCACCAAATTGCAGTAAAACGAAATAATACATCCTTATTGATTTCGACGCACGTAAATGAACACAACCACAACTTCGATCAGCAAAACGTGGAATTAATTTTTAAAAAAAGCAAGCTCATAACCTGCAGGAGAGTTCCCGGAAGCGTGGTACAGAAATCATATTGCAATCAACAGATACGTGGTTACCGACTAAATATATGGGCTACTAAAAGGGATCAACGAAGAGGTAATCACTTTAACAAAGCAAAAATCAAATGCCATTTCAACAGCATAGATAAAACGACAACTGTTATAAGGGTCAACCTCTGATAATAAAGAAGGACAAGTCACCCTATCTCCAAGCCAAAAAAACTCAATGTTCTGTAAATACACCTTATAAACATTCATGCAACTTGAAGATGCTCTACTTATATGCGAAGTAAATGGCGATGAGGTTGACTGGCCTGATGACGAACAGACCTCAAAGTTTGAAGTGTATTAAAAAATTGTCAGTTTGTGAATTCTTTACAAAGTTATTATCCTACTCTCTTGTTATCACCTGGAATAATAGATTTCAAAGATTGTGAACCAGATAAACTTCATATTCTGTGATGGGTTTTGGGGCTATGTGTGATTAATCTGAAGTGAGTATTTCGAGTTTGATCTAAGGAAGAAAAACAGGATCTATTTGGTTTTCATAATCCCATTTTATCCGAGGAGATAAACGTATGCTTATATCGACATGTGTACGAAAATATATTATGAGGTATTGCATCGATCAATATTTCCTGAGAGATTTTTACTGAATGCATTGATAAAAATGATGGATTTCAGCCCTACTGATCAAACCACGATTAGTCAATACACAAATCTCAAACATTTTCACAGCAATCAGCCTTGTAGTTCCGTGTTACATAGGTTATATGAGGCTTTAGATAATTATAAAATTACCAAGAAAATTAAAAGAGATATTGTCCGCTAGTGTAAACTCACAGGCTAAATCATACAGGCTGCCTACAGTCCATAGTCTGTCTTTCTTTAAAGATGAGTCTGTAAATTTCTGTAAAGGATGAAAAATAATAATAATTTAATCATCAAGAACAATTGAAGTAAGAGTTGCATTTTTATCTTCAGTGCTTTGTCAAGTGTCTGAGAGACTAATCAAGACAGACAAATAGGAGAAATGAGTTACAGACAGATTAACTTGAGGAAAAATATGCAGTGTCAAAATATGCACTAACTTATTCAACCATCACATAACTTGAGTCCCAAATTCACTTTGATATGACTGTCTAATTAGTAAAGTTATCAAAAACTCAACATAATGCTCTTTAGTGTGAACTGCATACTAGATAATAAACTTTCATCCTCACGTTTCTGAATATCAAGCAGTATTAAAGGAATATTCTTATCACCAAGTGCAGTTGGGATAACAATTACCATTGGGTTAAACCCAGTTAAATACATCAGTGTTGTTCACGCAAAATCTGAAATAATAAAAGTAAGCACTATTCAACCGATGTAATATGTTTTTACAAAAGTACTACCTTATTCAAGGGGTGGCATTAAAACGGACTTTGACCAAGTGATAAATTTGTGAGTTTTAAGAGAAGACTTAGGTAGTCAAGACTAAAAGACTAACCATGTGTACAAGATATCTTTCTCAACACTTTGGTTTCTAGAACATCCATCTTCTTACAGAACTTTGCTTGTTATGCGTGTTATATTGCAAATCCTTAAATAAAATTATTGAATGTAACTGATTACTGAATATTGATCAAAACGGAATATGCTTACCGTATCTATTTTTACTTCAGTTACTGTCTGGCAATATGAATTACTGAGATATTTTTTGAATACAATTTTTCCAGTTATTGGTCTTTCAAGGGCCACCGTTTTTATCATATGACATTTAACTGTCTTAGCTATAGACTGATCATCTTCAGGAATGTCGATAAAGTGAAGTTTTGGTTTCGAAAAATTATTGTTCAGACATAAAAAGTCCGATTCCAGCAAAATTATCATTCGATCCCCAGGATTAGCTTCATGCAAACAGTCAGCTTCTCCAACCTAAATAAAGTTAAATGACTGAGTAGTCAAAAGAACAGCTACCGCATCAAAAAACATTTATCATTGCATGCACTTCCAAAAGACCAAATAATTTCGTTTCGAATGGTTATTTGTTTACCATGTAAGGAAAGTATGTACACCCTAGTCAGTTTGGGGTGTATTTCGATTATTCGTGTAACGTTTGGCAAATAGTACCTACCCCAGTAGATAAATACTGAAACCAAACCGAGACGATAACTAGTTAGTTCTTACGAAATTAAAGACGATGGATCAAACTTATGCGGCAACTGTTCATTTAAATTATGTTGGAAAGCAACAAATCGTACGATAGTGCCATGACTATGAAAGAATTATTATTAAAGTGCTAAGTCCATCTTTCGTCACTCATACAATGTTGTAAACTTGACTCTGAATTTCTGACCGCTTCCGAATGGATCTGTGTAAGTATGGCTTTAGTAATACATTAACTTTCTGATAGAGTTTTAAAAGATATCTTCAAAAGTTGCCTTCCTATTCACAATTCATATCAAATAAAAATTTGTGCAAGTAACTACTGGGCGCACGAATGAGATTCTGAAGTTTTAAACCTTTGGATGCTGTCAAAAGGAAGGAAACATATGTCAGTTTATTCGTCAAATAAAACTCTCAGGAATTATGTTTGCTCACGTGAATGCAGACTACATGAGGACTAACACGAGGAAATTCCCAAAAACATAATTTTCAGGATAGTTTCCTGTTTATAATGATTCTTCTAATAAAGAATGGCTATATTTCTTGAGACTTTTATCTATTAAAGATTCAAATATAAACAGCACAGAGTATTCTAAATACAGTACTGACTGACATGGATCAAGCAAACCAGTCAGGGATGCTTATGAACCAAATCAGGGTCAACTTCAGATGAAAACGCAGTTCTGATTTTTTTAACAAGATACATAAGCGATACATCAAGGATGATCCAAATAAGAAAGCCAAATCTTTCAAACCACCACCTTATTTGATTTACAACATGCCAGGATTGTTGCGTATCAAGGTGGATTTGTCGGGAATAAAGGTTTAGAAATAATAAAATACACTTCGTGAAAATGTCGGAATAAACCAAAATAAAGCCGAGAAAGAAGCAGAAATATATTATGAGGAGGTTTCCTGAGGAAATATAAAAAAATAATCCTCCAAACCACTCCTATTTGTGTCATGCTATGTTGTGCAAACTCCGAAAATATATTGGATAAAAGCATCCCATAGATAAAGACTTGAGTCTAAACTTCTTCAGAAGGACCGGGAAAACAGCTCCTTAGATAAGTGCCATATTTTGCTCTTATCACTCTGAGCTTCAATTTAATAAATATGGTTTTATACCTGACTTTAAAAACAATGATTTGTTTTATCAAATACAAACAATTTTTGCGGTGATTTTCAGCAGTACTGTGTAGTACTTTCATTAATGACCATACTTTTGAATTTTAGACCAGGGTAGCACATACTTTTGAGATATACGACATTTACATGCAGTTTGGAATTCATTGTTCTACAGATAAAAGTGACCTGATCTCAGATCTCCAGGACCACTGACAGGTTTTCAGATTGCCTCTTTTGTCAAGTGAAAATCGAAGTTTTTCATCCTGGAAACTAAGTAATGTGACTGATTTGAATACTACTTCGAAGTAGCACCAGATCCATGCAGGAGTCACAACAGGCTAATTATCTTACGTAGTTAACACATAATTACCGTAAAATGCGATATAAAGCCTGATCCTGATAGCTTCTGAATAATTAAACTGTTACCTTTTTCCAAACTCCGAGGATATTTAAGGGAACAGACATGCTCTGGATACAGATACATAGGTAGCATTTATTGTCCGCTTTCGTTAATCTCATATAAACACTCAGTTGCATATGTTGATGATTACAATTGTCTCCATTAAATCTTTGAGCATATGAATGATGTCCATTTATATGCATAGCAGATCGATAAACCATATAGTAGTTAAAAGGGAGCACTTTCAAGGTTGAGTAGGGTGGAAAACTTTAAACAAATATTACTTAACGAACTCGATTCTACTCTAATGTGTGACTTCATTTAAGGTGAACCACGACGCGAAAATGCTAAAATGATACGGTTAGTACCTAAAAGGATATAAAAAGGAGAAAAGGACTTCACATAACTAAGTATTATTGCATTATTAGTGGGTTATATTCATTGACATTGAAGCGTCAAACACTTCTGCAGAATCAATAGCCTAGGGTTTGACGAGATTCAACATTGATGCTAACCTTCATAGCTGAGCTGGACTCGCTAATCTAAAGGCATCTGGTCAAGCATCTTCGCCATTCGGCACGCTGTCGTGTTACTTTGCACTGCTCGTAATTGACCCTCTAGCCAGTTGGTCGGTATCTTAGCCCGACATCGCAAATATGCCATTTCATCCGACTACGCTATTGTGTTCTTTCTTGGTTTCGTATTCGTGGGTATGTGACAAGTTGGAATAATTGGTGACTGGCCCCTACGTCTGTCAAGTTCGCACCAGGACAATTCCTAAATCATTACACTTCAAAATATTTTTATCAGACTTCGCACCGATATGCCTGAAGAGTTGAAGATGAACTGAGGGCGTTTAGCGGGAAATAACTCCCAAAGATATCTAGCCTTAGGTTTGGGGACAATTCAATACTGAGGGTGGCCTAGATAATTTTGGTAAAGTGGTTGGGCTGAAGATCATGGTCAAGAGTACGAGCCATTTGGCAAGATATCATGTTACGTTGAGCTTCTCAGATGTCATCCTCTAATTAGTCAAGCGCATCAATTCTTTGTCATGGTTTATCAATACTCTACTTTCACCTGAATACATCAGTGTTTTTTCTTGGCCCCTCACTCGTGGTATTCCAGGAGTACTAGGAGTTAATATTTGCCCTTGGTGCTTATCAAATTCGCTTGAGAACGATTAACCAAACGCGCTTTGAGTAAAACACACTTTGTTGCTACGTGTTGGTCACCGGGTACTTGCAACAAATGGGACAATAAGCTGTGAATTATGAATGATATAGGGGTATGCATATAAAATATCTGTTTTTGGTGAATGCGAATTTCATCATATTGTATCGGTATGTCCAATCTCATGAGTCGATCTCAAGCGTGAAGTTTTATTCACACAGTCAGACCAAAGGCTTGATGCGATTAATCGGCGGAAAGCTAATGTATCTTAAGATCACCACAGTGAGTCACGTGTCTATTTTCAACTCCAGGGATTCCTCTTTTCCAGTATTTACCTACACCAGTAGGATTCAAGCGGGGACTTATACCTACGCTGTTCAAATTGTGCTTAGATGTAGTAAATACATCACAAGTCCTGTCACCAGAATGCCTATTTTCCTTAAATCGAGGATAGGGAGCAAAAGACAATAGTTGTAAGTTACCACAGCCACGGGAAATGCCTTAATAAAGAGAGAGACATCAGTATGTGGGCTGATACACCCACGTTTGTACCCTATCGGTTACATTCCATGGTTTTCTAGAGAAAAGAACATGTCTGGTCAATTGCTCACTGTCGATGGAGTGTCTCTCTCCTTTTGCACTATAACACAAGGGGGTAAGCAGGGCAGTCTTGGCGATCTCACATGTATCCTTCGATGACGGCCCATGAATATGGCATCTCGCGTAGTTTTTAACGCATAGTTGTTGCAATGCGATGTGGTCACCTTTGGGCACCTCATAGTACGGTTGTCACTTGCATGGAGTGGACACCTTTTGCCTATTCAGTGGCCGTGCGGTTGCTGTAGATACGCATCTGAATGTAACTGTGTATGTACGAGCCCAATTACCTTCACACAGTCAGACTGCTGCAAAACGTTCAAGGCTCTCAGTGTCAGAAGACCCAAAAACAGAAGAGGTATGTGAAGATAATGAAGGTTGTATTCACAATGTAATCCAATTCAAAAGTGGCAACCAAGACAGAATAGCTCAGGTGGAAGAACAGGTACGATCATATCAATACGATATGATTATGAGCAGTAATTTATGCTCGAAACGTCATGAAGTAAATAATTTTATATCACTGTGCCTCATAAATCAAATAAGTTGTTTTGGCGCCCATATAGCCCGATTAACCCTAACGCATTCTAACTGACGATCATTCCGAGGAATTTCGCCAGTTTAATTTTCTTGCCCAATAGACTAATAGGATCTTTTAACCTACAAGGTTGCTTCTAAGTGATTTTGTTGGCTTAAGTGTCACTATGATATTGGACCCTTTAAGTGCTCTTCGTAGTATTTCGGAGGCGCCCTGTTTATCCTGCAAAACAGTTGATATTTTTAGTCTTCTCTTCACTCTGCCATCCTTGTAACCGCCACTACTGTCAACGTTATTTTATTGTCAACTGCACCTACTAACTCTACTGCTTATATGTTTCTCGAAGTTTCTTGTGAATTTTCCGGCGAATTTGGGTTGTAATTATGCAGACGTAGCACATCCTTAAGGCACCCCAAACTTCCCGTCCTACCAGCAGACTTTCTTGGCTCGCCTCCAAGATGTCTGACCACCCCAACGTTAACCAGCATAGGGTAAGGCGACTTAAAGTCCAAGCCTTGATTCCAATTGAATGGTCCACTATAGACACTGGTCTCTAAACTTCAATCTTTTTTCCCTTTATTTTGTACTCCAGCATTTCCAGCTGCCCTTCATCACCCATTTCATAAGTACATGGGGTTGCGTACGCCGCCGAATTCGTGCGCGCAAAATCCTAATGATGTGTTCTGGTTTCTGTACTGTGAATGCGTCACCTACACATCTGAGTCATTTGTTCGCGGCAGGTATGACTGCTTCGCAGGATATCCGTTTCCAGCTGCCCACGAATGTATACAAACGGACGTTGGATTTCAGTGGTCTTTCCGATTCAGTTAAACAACATTTTTTCATCAAATCTCTAGCATTATTTGTGAGGCAAAAGTCTGCGGTCGGCACGGTCAACTAGGATCAGTTGGACTATCAGGGCATACAGGATGAATCAAACGAGGAAACCGAAGGAGGGGTCGGTTTTACTTATGCAAGGGGCTGCACGAAATCACACAATAGGGTGCATGGTGCTTCCCTCACGTTTTCCTCACCATTTTTGATTCTGATAGCCCGGGTTATGAGTAGGTACATTCTTTCCCGAGAATGTGTCTTATCCAAGCATGTACGTGATTTGCTTGTTGTGACTGTTGTCTGATGTTGACAAAACTCGGTGCCATACGCCATGATCCAAACTCTCAAAAAAACTGCCAAGCGATTTTGTACTGTAACCCGTGACCCACAGGATTCTAAAGAAGAAGGAATAACAACAATGTTTCATGTTCATGTTCACTGCCGAAGCTGAGTCTAAGAGGCAGCCTGTAACTTATAAATGTGGCAGAACAAATCCCGAAGTCTCGTTCTTTTTGTTGGTAAGTAGCATACTTGACCCTTTTTGTGATCTCCCACACCTATATCTCCTGAAGGGAGCACATGCACTGTCTGAGTTCCGAGAAATAAATCATTTTGTAAGGCTGAGTCTAAGGCTTTTGGGACTACCCCCAGGGTCTGAAAATAATCTCACTGCAAGCACAAGCTTTGAAAAAAGATAGTGGCGCTTGACAAAATTTAGACTAATTCGTTATATTTGCCATGTTGCAGCTCAGAACTTCTTGGACGAATACCTATCTATCCTTCATTCTGCCTAATGACAATTTCGAAGGATTTCTACGTAGTTTGTCGCATGAATGTCGGCTGCAGGGCTCAGGCAATGGGTTGTGAGCCTTGCTATCGATGGACTCACCGCTCCTGAGATCCTAGCCAGCCATCTGGTTATTATGAAGCACTGGTCAATAGCCCTTTTGGTGAAGATTGGTATTTTTGCCCATGTTGTAGGTCCAAAAGCAAGTACCAAATAAGCCGAGGGCTAGCGATGCGGAACTCTGACCACCTTACAGTTAAATAAATAAGTAAATAAATGTTTTATTCTCACGTTAAAAAGCGTTTAACATGAGGGTAGCCAGTTTACATGCTTCATCACGTTGATACGCTGAGATCTCTACGCCATCCACATTCAGTCGAAAGAGGTCACATGGTCCCAAATGAAGCTCTAAAGTTAGCAATGGGGAAAGTCGCAAATTATGCATTGTTCTTCCGTAATAACCAATACCAGTATTTCATGCGTAGATGGAGGTGGGAAAGAAGTCGTCACGATCATGGACTGCCTCCCTGTTAGCATGCCTTTGGAGCAGATCCCCTCAGTGGTGACTTTGAACCCCACACCTAATGATCGCCGAAAGAAAAGTTTTATGAGACGTGGATAGGTCAAATCAGCTAAGGTGAAACTCTAGGGATCAATCGTAAACCCGGCAAAGCAATGACTATTCGGTCCGACGGGAAGCCGAAACATAAGCTGATCATTCCCCCCCCCCAGGGTGAAAAGCTATCTGAAAAAAAGCAGATCTTACTCCCGCTGCCTTTAAGGCATAGCGGAAGCCATCTGCATTTAATCATCAACCTCTGTCATTTCCTAAAGTAACTCCCACAGTTAGTAGCTCATGCTCTGTGACCCACTCCAAAAAGACTAATCAGAAATTTGAGTCTGCAGTCACGGGGAGGACTAAGTCCCAAAGGTTGGACCACTGCCTGAGCCTGTGATCGCTCATAATTTTTAAAGTTATGGAAAGTGGCGCCTTTCTGTTGACCGATCGTGAAGAGCATGATCTTGATCAGTGGAGGAATATAATCATTCATGGGGTCCCCGAACGTCCAGGTACTGGTAGTGCTGAACTTGTCCACGACATAAATCAGTGGAGGTACATAGCCAACAAACTCCAAGTCAATGTGAGGGCCAAAAAACCAACCGTCTTCCAAGGCCAGGTTACCTCTCGACCATTCGCACTCCCGGGCTGCCCCAGGTAACCTTTGACTCTCCGGACATGGTCAGAACTGCTTTGGAATCCTGGTATGATTAAT